CAAATTCATGATACTGCCAAATTCATGATACTGCCAAATTCATGATACTGCCAAATTCATGATACTGCCAAATTCATGATACTGCCAAATTCATGATACTGCCAAATTCATGATACTGTAAGGCACATATAGGTTGAATCTATGACGTCATTACGTCAAAACGACGCAATGTGCGTTAGTTTTATCAGTTTTATTTGATGGTATGGACCTCAAAAAGATTGTTCAAATTGATTTGAAAACTTAAAATTATTTTGTTAATTAGGTACGAGTAATTGAATATTTAGTTGAATATTGAATATCGAGTGTTTGATCTATGACGTCATGACGACAAAACGACGCAATGTGCTTTAGTTTTATCAGTTTTATTTCATGGTATTGACCTTTAAAAGATTGTTGAAGTTGATTTGAGAACTAAAAATTATTTCCTTAATTGGCTACAAGTAGTTGAATATCATTATATAAACAGGGATTTAGGTCCTACAAATCTGTATGGTTGAATCTATGACGTCATGACGTCAAAACGACGCAATGTGCGTTAGTTTTAGTAGTTTAATTTGGAGGTATGGACCTCTAAAAGATTGTTAAAATTGATTTGAAAACTTGAAATTATTTCGTTAATTAGCTACGAGTAGTTGAATATTGAATTGAATATCGAGTGTTGGATCTATGACGTCAAAACGACGCAATGTGCGTTAGTCTTAACAGTTTTATTTCATGGTATGGACCTTTAAAAGATTGTTAAAATTGGTTTAAGAACTAAAAATTATTTCCTTAATTAGCTACGAGTAGTTGAATATCATTATATAAACAGGGATTCAGGCCCTACAAATCTGTATGGTTGAATCTATGACGTCATGACGTCAAAACGACGCAATGTGCGTTAGTTTTATCAGTTTTATTTGACGGTATGTACCTCTAAAAGATTGTAAAAATTAATTTGAAAACTTAAAATTATTTCGTTCATTAGCTACGAGTAGTTGAATATTGACTTGAATACTGAATATCGAATATCGAGTGTTGGATCTATGACGTCATGACGTCAAAACGACGCAATTTGCGTTAGTTTTATCATTTTTTTTATGGTATGGACCTCTCAAAGATCGTTGAAGTTGATTTGAGAACTAAAAATTATGTCCTCAATTGGCTACAAGTAGTTGTATGGACCTTTAAAAGATTGTTAAAATTGGTTTAAGAACTAAAAATTATTTCCTTAATTAGCTACGAGTAGTTGAATATCATTATATAAACAGGGATTCAGGCCTTACAAATCCGAATGGTTTAATCTATGACGCCATGACGTCAAAACGACGCTATGTGCGTTAGATTTATCAGTTGTAATTGATGGTATGGACCTCTAAAATATTGTTTAAATTGATTTGGGAGCTAAAAATTATTTCGTTAATTAGTTACGAGTAGTTGAATATCATTATAGAAACATTGATTCAGGCCCTAGAAATCTGTATGGTTGAATCTATGACGTCATGGCGTCACAACGACGCAATGTGCGTTAGTTTTATTAGTCGAATCTTGTGGTATGGACCTTTTGAGACTGTTTAAAAGACATTTGGTTCATAGAAATTATTCGTTGACTTTGCAAGATGGCGTTCAATGTCTATGCATCCACTAGTGTCGTGATCCTCGAAAATCTGTACAGTTTATTTAATCCATGACGTCATGACGTCAAAACGACGCAATGTGCGTTAGATAAACCAGTTTTATTTGGTTGTATGGAGCTCTAACAGATTGTTAAAATCCATTTGAATACTGGAAATTATTTCATTACTTTGCAAGAAGGCGTCTGATTGAAACATGTCGGGTGCGGTTCAGGATGAATCCATGTGCGTTTATTTAATTAATTCAATTCGATAGTATTGACCACTTAAAGATTATAAAAACTCATTTGGTTGTTTAAAATTAGAGGACTTTTCAATCAAATGAATATAGAGTTTGAAAGGTTGTGGTTTGGTTTGACATACGTACGTGAAATGTCTATTCACATACTGTATGCGTGCTCATTTGCATATATGGGACAATAGAATGCTCTCGCGCCCAAGACTTCTACGAAATAAGCCTACCATGTCGAATCGAAGGCTCAATCGAAGGCTGCGAATCGAAGGCCGAAAGGAGGGCTAACTTCAGGTTGGTCAAATGACGACGGAGAAGTGCGTGTATCAAAATCGGCCTCTAGCAGTTTAATGGACGACTGCACCTAGAGGACTGTACCAATGGTTGGCAAGTGGCGCCTACCACTGCAGTGATTTCTTTTCGCCGCTATGGGACGTTTTTGATCAATAGCGATTTCAACGGTTCAGGCTTCAGAGCGTCTCAAATTGTCAGATTTCCTACATGTTTCCATAAATTGACAATTACAAATTGACAATGGACGAGTTTCAGAGGAAAGAATTTAGGAAATGTGTGTCAGAAAGAAAATTTAAGCAGGATTGCTTGCTGTCTGGAAGAGTAAGATAGTGAAAGAAAAT